AAAAAAAACTAAAAATAATATATATATATATATATATATATATATATATATACACTAATAATCTTAAGTCTTTACTGTCACTTTTGATCAATTTAATGTGACCTTGCCAAATCAAAGTATTAATTTATAAGATTTTTTTTCTCCAATTTTTTTACTATATCAACAGATTTCCATTTGTATGTCAGATACTAATCTTTTAAAATTATAACAATTATCAAATAAACAAACTCTGACTTAAACACACTCAAAGATCAAAATTTTGCATATGTAATATTTAAATTTATCTAGTCAATAAAAAAATAAAAACATTTCCATATTCACTATAAACTTTCATTAATTTGCCATGACTTCTGTATTTTGTATTTACTTCCATGACTTTTTCAGGCCTGGAAAAAATGAAAATGTTTAATTTTTGAAAATTACCATATTTTCAGATGTTTCTATAACTGAGGAACCCTTTTAAAGTTGTACTACAGGCTTAACACAACACAACAAACATACACCACTACACTAACAATCTAACTTTTGAGCTAAACAAAGCTGCCGTTCACTACCTGTGTGTGGGCTAGTGAGCACAGATTCAGTTCAAGCTCGCAGAGCAATGCTTTCCATGTGGCTCCAAGTAAATGGCGTGCATGTAGGGTTTATTTGCAGGAGAAAAAGGCATTAAGAAATGATATTACAGGAACTCAGTGAGATGAAGATCTATAACAGGACTAGTGTGGCTCTCTGACCTGTACTCGCAGGGGGATTCTTCGCCCATGGCTTGAGCTTCAGGATCAGCGGGAGTTTCCTCCTTTTCCTTCACTGCCAAGAGAAAAAAAATGCAAAGATGTTATTTATCATAAAATCACATTATACTATTTTGGTAGATTCGATTGGAGTGAAATTACAACATTCAAGGAGAGTGTTTTGTGTATTGGTTTTTCTCAATTGCTTTTGAAATTTCTTGCCTTGATTTCATTTAAAAAATGACATTATTGTTATTCATAAGAGATAATACATGATATACACTTGATTTGCAAATGCTGAGCAAACATTCAATACTTCATATTCTCCAAATTTGTGTAAGTATTTTGTATTTTGCTGTGTGGAAGCACATCAAGGACACTGACTGCCTTTTAGAAAAACTACTGTGTGCTGAACTTGAATGTAAGATATGGCCTTACTGGTGAAAACATTTATTCTTTTCAGCTTGGTAAGGTATAAATAAACTTTATGTATAGTATCTAACAGCCACAGTGATGTAAGACTAAAACTGTCTTGCAATGCCTTGGGCTTTATTCCATAAGCTCCATAAGGGTTCTTATGCATTTTAAATGCATTTTAATGCATGCAAGAGTTTGTTGCAATAATCCATTCAGGACATAATTAGTTCTTGAATCCATTAAAAGCATTTCATATTGGTTAAATATATGTGAAGAACAAAAGAAGACCAGTAGGAGCAGGCAAGGACAGGCCAATAAAGCTCACTGATCTCAGGTTTTCTGTCTGACACTGCTAGTAATAAGTCTATGGGTTGGTGCGACAGAGCCACACAACACAAAGCTAACAAAAGCACCAAGCTAAGGTGTATACGCTTTGACTACAGAGAACTGAGAGCTTAAACAGAGGTCTAGGAGCTCTGTGTGACCTCTGAAGCTGAATGTGTCTTACCTGCGTACTTGCCGAATTTGTTCTTGAGTACAAAACAGCCGATGAGGACAAGCAGAGTTAGTAAAGCCACTGCGCACATGATCGCCACAAACCACTCCTGGGATGCCACGAGATGTTTACTAGACACTGCAAGGACAAAGGAGAGTTTGTTTTTGGAAAAATGTAATTCATGAACACAGTCATACTGAAATATTGGAAAATAGTGATGATGTCTTGTTGAGTTAAAGGAAGAATTGTCAAATGGCATTTTTAAGTATGGTTCCTGTGTCAATTTCTGATGTGGTTTGTCAAAGGAGAACAATCAGAACCCAAAGAAGAGTATTTAAATGGGTCACAGTTTAGTTTTGAACATTTGATGAACTTCTGGAACACTTATGAACATTTGCCACCAATCCTCTGACATAAATGGACTCTTCTTTGCTGTTGCCTCAGAACCTGTGAGTTTGTTGACAAAATGAAATGATCAGAGACCCAGTTGCAAATAAATTTCTGTCACTTGTTTGGAAGCACATGCAGAGCTGTAGGTGATACATCTACCAGTCATACATAATTCATTATCATTAGTTCTTCTGGTGTTTATGAATAACATTACCTACCCTAGTTTCTCTGTATTACCTTGTACTGAATAGATGAACTAAAGAACTGAAGTTTCTGTCAAATAAAGAGTAGGCATCGTTGACGTGTAGAGGTTGGCAGTTATGTGTCCAAAGGGATTTATTTGTCTGATATCAGAAAGTTTTAGGCCTTACAGTCAATTAACGTAAATTATTAAGGTTATTTATTCTGGAGTGGAACTTTCGAGTTTTGAAAGATACAGTTTGTTCATAGTAAAATAAAATGCTTTGAGTTTATAGTTCTAAAAATTTTATATTTTAGTTACAAGCATTTCAACATGTCCTGCAAAATCATCCACACTGTAAAAAAAAGCTTGTGATTTTAAATGTAAAAGACTGTAAAAATGCTTCAGTAAAAACCTGTTAATTGGTTAACAGCAAGTTACC